ACTTTTGTACAAGGGACTCTCATTTTTTTTTTTTGATAAAATACCTCATCTCTTAATTTTTAATTATAATTTTAAATAAATTTATTAATATTTGAAATAAACACTCGATCCAAGAGTGTAAACATAGTTAACAGAAATAATAAAACAACTAAAATGCCATTTTATTCTTTCTCTTATTTTTTTTGTCTCAAACAATGTGGTCGACTAATGATGCTATCATGCGCCTACCGACCACCCCGCAATAAGTACTTCCCAATGGAAAGGAACACCTAAGGGAAGGGAGCACCCTTAAACAAAGGAGCACCAATCGGTGCTCCTCAAAGAAGGGAAGCACCACCCTTCTCCTAGGGAGCACCGATCTCTCTTGACTTTTTTTTTATTGCAAAAAAAATCAAACAGTAATTTTTAAAATTAATAAAAAAAATAAAATTATCTTTTCAATATTATCATGTCATCAAACAAATAAAAATATTAATAATTGACTAACGGTTAGACTTATGTATTTAACGAAAAATATTTTTTTAAAATAAAATATCTATTGCAAAAACTATTAGATTTATTTGAAATTTTGATTAAAAATTAGAAATGTGGGGTATATTATTTTTTTTCTCTCTTTGTAAGTGCCAACTTACACTTGTTATTTATATATGCTCTCACTAAGATTTGTTTCCTTCGTTTGAAAATGTTGAGGCTTGCTTACTTTTTTTTTGTGTTTGTTTTGTTTCTTGGAACTGAGTTCAGGTTTTTGTTACACTTTTAAGGAACTTCTACACTTTTATACATCAAGATTAACCCTATTGATTTTTCTTTATTGAATAAAGAATATTACCATTGCTTTTAAAAAAAATTAATTAAAATTACATTAGCTAATCAATAATTAAACAAAGTTAATACTAATTAACTTAAACTAACAAACTCAACTAAAAAAATCTAGCTTGATGATTTCTCTACAAACGCCTTTGCTAACATGGAATATACGTGTGCTCGTGTAACATGTGTTATATTATGCTAATAAAAAGTAATAATTAAAGCATAACAATAATAGTTAGTGGCACATGAGAAAGTGGTGGTGGTGGTATAAGGTAACAAACAACAATTGTTAATGCTAAAGTAATATAAGTCATTACATATGCACAACAAAAAACATGATTATTAGTATGCAAACCGTGTGATATTATAAGACATTATCATTATAACAAAGAATAAATAAACATTAAAAGTTATAATTTATAATTTTATTTTTTATAATTATAAATATTACATTTATATGTTAATTCTTTTACGTGCAATGCATGTGCATTATGTGCAAAACACATGCACTAAAAATTAATAATCAATAAACAAATAAAGCTTAAAATTAATTCCACAATATTACATTATGGATACAAAATATAATGTATCTACATACGAGTTGATATTAACAATATAAACTACAACATTAAGATTACTTATCAAACCGACTTGACAATTTTTCTAAAATTAATTTTTTTTAAACATTGTTTTTTTAACTATAACAATCCTTCAATATAAAATTAAGTGACTTCAAATTCTAATTTAAAAATCATATATTTCGCTCTAAACAACTGTTCAATATCTTTTTTGTAATTGAACAAAATGATACGATTGCTAAACTTGAAAAAATATATACATGCTATGCAATTGAAGTTTATTTATGAATAAAGTTCAAAACTGTTGATGAGTATAGTTCCTTTTGAAGATTCTAAACTAATTGTATGTAAGGCTGTTTATCTTTGTTACATTATTATCTTATCTATTTACTTAATGAATTTTTATCTCTTTGATGATAACCATAAGCAAAACTTAATTTTATAAAAAAAATTACAACAAAAAATAACAACAAACTTTCATATAGTCAACTTAGGAATATTTTGAGTTTTTCCTAAAACCTCTCCTTGGATTTGAAGACAATTGAACACACTTTTTATACAAATAATTAGGTATAATATTTACCTTGGTATGTGCTTAGACAAAATAAGCTCTAAAGATAAAAAAACAAAAGAAATCATATATCTTAATCTCTTAAAAGAAGTTAGACTTTTGCTTGACGAATAAGCGACGATTTTCTTCATGTTTAGCAACAAGATTGCTAGCATTTTCTTAATGTTTAGCAATAATATTGCAAGATTATTATTAGTGCTAGAAAAAGAAAAATTTTAAATAAAATTTTCTCTATTTTATTAAATTATCTCTATTTAGCTCGTATAATTTGTATTGTGGTAACTAATACTCCTCAACTCAAAGAAACAAAAAAGACAAAAGGAAAAAAATACAAATAATTAACTTGAATATATTTATAGACCATAATCCTAACCTCATATAATTTGTATTTTTGTAACTTATGCTTCCAACTTAAGAGAAAAAAGATATAAATCATTAATTTGGATATATTTACAAATCATAATCCTAAATCAAAATTAAAAACTTAATTCTGTTTTACATTTTGATAAGGGATTGAGTAGAACTAGGTAAGTTAATGGATCTTAGGGGCAACTATCATATGTTAAGCATGATAAGATATCTTGGTTGACAAGAAATAAGTTATGTTGAGTTTAATTAATATTTTTTTCACAAAATAATAATAAAAAATAAAGGATAAATAGGAACCAAAAACTAATTATCAAAAGAGTCTATCAAACGAAACGAAATTTTAATGTCAAAATACTTGAGAAGTCCCTATACTCATATATATTGTTCAATTTAGTCCCTACACTCAAAATCATAACATATTAGTCCCTTGATTTTAGATATTACTTAAATTTAGTCTCTCCCTCTAATGACATCTAATTTAGCCATTAAAAGAATGATATCAGCATTGACATCAACTTCAACGTGACACATTTTGATGATGCGGCATGCCACGCGGCATCAACGTGATGACATGGTAGTGTCACGTGGTACTATTATGATGACATGATAATGTTGATGTGGCACTAATATGTTGACATGTTAGTACCATGTGGCAGATAAAAATTTTTTTAAAAAAATTTTTTATGCCATGTCATAAGGATTAAATTGAACAAAAATATATCATACAAAGACTAAATTAAACAAATTGAGATATTGAGAGACTAAATGAAAAAAAATATTTAAAAAATATAAATATTTAAGCACTACCATGTTATCATAATTGGTGCCACGTGACATACCATGTCATTATGTAGGTACCACGTCATCAAAATGTTCCACATCGACACAGATGTCAGCGCTGATATCATTATTTTAATGGTAAAATTAGATGCCGTTAGAGAGAAGGATTGAATTGAAGTAATTTTCAAAATTAAGAGATTAAAATGGTACGATTTTAAATAAAAAGATTAAATTAAACAAAATGCATACGTACAGGGATTTTCCAAGTATTTTAATCAAATTTTAATTAAACATCTTGCTCTAATGTTAATGGAAAAAAAAACAAATTTAACAGAAATAACAATTTAAAAATCTTAAATAATTAGGGCTCAGTAAAAAACATTGAAAAAGAGTAATGGTTATTATTTTGAACAAAATTGACGAAACAATTCAAAACTAATTACTTTGGCAAGTTACCAACTTTAATAAAATAATAATTATATGTACTTAATATTTAAGTCCACGTATACATGACGTATCCGGCTCATAGAGTTAGATTTTGAATCTCTCCATCCTCAAAGTGTTAATTATAAAAATATATGTTATTTGCCATTTCTTTTTATAATATTAATTGATCTAAATTAATTAAATTTTTCTCTAATTTAGTTGTTCCTAATTCTCAATGTTCAAATTTATACTCAAATTTATAGCCTCATAGAATTTGCCTATTTATTTAATTATGATTCTCATTAGTATTGCTACAATAAATTTTATACACATATACTCAAAATTTGTTGCATTCTACCATTTATATTAGTGTATAATTTTTTTAAGAAAATCTTTTCTTCGACTATATGGTTGGATTTTTTTTTCCTTTTCATCATATGCAAGTTTTTACAACAAATTTTGTGATATGTAGTGCTATACGGCATGAAATTGCTTTATTGTTTCAAGCTTAGTATTGTATTCCTAAATCATGCTTTCATAAATTTTTTTTTGTAATAAATCTATAGATTTAATTAGTATTTATGAGTTCATTATAAATTCCATTAAAATTGAATTTTGATCATTTAAAATATTTTCAAAATCGCTTAAAAAGTATTTTCAATTTCACTTTATATTTATTTATTAATTTTTAATCATTAAATCACTTACAATTTTATTAAAAAATAAAAATTACTTTTTTTATGAAAAATAATGGTAAAAAAAAATTAAAACCCCAAAATTGATATGTTTAATATTGGACCTTTGATTTGCATTGCACCACAACCTTTCTCATCTCTTACTTTTACCCTTGATCCAAAAGAACTTGCAATTAGAACTTGCCAGTTTTAATACCACCGTTACCACAATAGAAACATCAATTCGAGTTAAGTCAGTTTGAGTTTTGTATAGTTATATGTGTGTTATAATTGTGTCAATTCATTTAAAATATATAAATATTCATGTGGTATACGAATTGACACAATTGTATGATATGATTATATATATTTAATTAATTATATAAACATATCAATTGATATCACTCAACATATTTAACTCGTTTGAAGTTATTTATTGAATTATTTATTCACGTTTAAATAAGCTAACATGTTTAAATCAATGAATTTTACATATCATAGTTAACCGTATTAATTATGTCATGTAACTATTGTCTTCGTTATTAATTAATTGTCATGTTTGTCTCAACTAATTTATTTATTATACTGTTACCCTTTAGACAATATTATTATAACCAACTAACAGGAGTTTTCAACCTTGCCTGCAATGGCAAATATAAGGGATACAAGTCCTACCTGTTTTTGACACATAATTGTTTATCAAATGCCTTCGTTACAAACCACTCCACAGACAGTCCAACAAGAACTAAAAAATATGAAATCTAAATTTATCACTATATATTGGATGATAGATCAAATCCTAGGCACAATACCAATACATTCCAACACTGAGTCAGAGCAGTAACCATTTGATATAAGTGGGTCATAATCATTGAAACGAAAGTCTTCATCAGAGTCATAATAAAGTCTTGAGCCCTTACACTTGAATGCAGTGATAGACGAAGCTAGCTCCAATATCTCATCATCATCCTCATCAAAGCCTATGCAGTCACTCACATCTAAATAGACAAGTTGATGGCAGCCTTGCAGAATTGTCACTAAATTCTTTCGTTCGATAGATGCCCCTTCAAGAAACAGGTGTGCAATCTTTGGAAGTAGAGTGACAATAGCCAAAGCCTCATCTTCCTCAGTTCTGGCAGTTGAGGCTGACCTGGGCAAGGACTTCCTTTAAATTATGTGAACGAAAAAGTGTCAAGTACACCAAATTCTTGAACTTCCCTATCAGTTCTTGAATCATGAGTGACTGCCCAAAGCCTGAGAAGGAAGGTAGACCCACTGCCTGTAAGCCAGGACACCTGGGAAAGAAAATATTGCTTTGTTAGCCATGAAATACCAGAATCTGAGTAAAATGCAACAATCATCAATGACTTTTGTGTAATATTTCATTTTCAGATGTGACATTTAAAAACTCAACTTTTGAATCTGATTGCTTTTAAAAATGTTTCAAATTCATTCATTCTGTCAAATCATCGTTAACAATTAACCGTATATGTCACCTTAACACCATATGAACATCTGCATGGCATAAATCTCAACTTTTTTTGCTGTGCGGACATCACACAGACGTCCATGTGACACTATGGTAGTAGATATCATCGGATTTTAATGACAGTTGATGGAATGGATAAATTTAAAGCATTTTTAAAAGATTGTGGATCCAAAAATTAAGTTTAAAGGTTGCAAACGAAAATGAAATATTATACAAAGATCATGAATGCCAGGTGCAATTTACTCCAAAATTTACATGTAGACAAATGCAAAATTCTTAGGCAAGATTAAAAAGGTTCAAGAATTTAATAAAAAAATTAGCAAATTGTCTGCTAATTTAGCATAAACCTACTTGTCTGCAACATACTCCAGTGCCTCATCTGAACAGGGTTCTGGGAGAATTAAGTGTAGTAGCATTTCCATGGCTTTGATCCACTATGGACTTTATGAATGCAGTAGCAGAGAATTCCTCAATTATATGTGTATCCATCAATCTTCCTTGAAATGAATCATTGGGAACATACCAATAATATTCATCAATTTTAGGAAAAATAAGACTCGTCCAGCACAAAGGATTAAGGCTGGCTTCATGCCATGACTTGCACACAAAAGGCACACCCAACAACAGTGACTGCATGCCCGCTTTTCCAAACACATTGATCAAACAATCTCTCGGCATATCCTCCCACTTTCTTTCTTCTTTCATATCTGTTTAAGTAACAAAAGGAGACTATGTTACTCGAACTTGCTGATGAGTGTCAGATACAAGTATGTATCCGGGTAATTCCCGTCCCTTAAGTGCAACATTGCAGTTATATTATAGAACTAAACATGTATTATATAATTATAATCTAATAAAGTAATCTAACCTAAGTAAAGAACTTTATAAAAGTTAGTTCTGAATCAACATTCACATGCAAGGCTTTATGCTAATATTCAGAACTCAAATGTGAAGAATATGAGTCTCATTCATATAAAAAATTAAGATTAAAATATGACAATTTATGCATTATTTAAAGGAAACACAGATAAAGTAAATCACAATATTTATGTTGCCTAACTAGTTGGCTTGATGACTTCCCACCAAAGTCCTATAAAAAGTCAGTAAAAGCAAAATAAATTAATATAAGAAGGGATGAAAACTGAATCCTAGACTGTAATTTTTGCTGGAAATTGCAGATTTTAAGTCACAGAGGCTTGTTTTCCAGACTTAATAAGTTATTTGGTTCAGAAATTATTTAGTGGGAATTTTAGCATTTGCCCATATTTGATCTTGATGCTCTGTAGGACTATGACGCTTGGAATTTTAGATGCAGGCTTGTCATCTTCTTCAATTTAAGCTCCATGTGCTTTTTGTATCTAAACGTGCTTTTCCTTTCTCCTGGAAGCAAAACGGAAGTCGCAGAAGCACCAAACGGAGCCTAAATAACTTGTTTGCTAGAATTCATAAAGCCAACCCTAACCTAAGCGCAAAGTGTCACGATTTACGTTCTTTTGTTTAAATATGCATAGTTCGTGCGGTATTTGAGTGGATGTTTCTGTACGAATCAATTAATATTTGGTTATATCTGATCTAACATTAATAATAACAATAAATCAGACTGAGAGAACTTGCATCAAAATCAAAAGATATATTAAAAGTCATATATGCAACCACTGAGTCATAAAAAAAAGTATTTTATTAATATGAAATTAATTATAAAGAGATCAAGATATGCCATTGTCAAGTCATAGGGGTAGTTCTATATGATTTGTTACAAATATACTTTTACCCATGAAACAGCCTAATAATCTACAAACTATTCATCTTTTATAAAGAATTTACGAAATTTTACAATATTCTACAAGTAATCATTATTATGTTTGAAATGAGGACATTTATTTCCTAAAAGGTCTTTCTCTCTAAAGATTATTTTTGGAGATGTTACCATAAGCAGTTATATTGTTTAAAAGAAGAATATTTCCTTTACAAGTATAAAAGACAACTCTACCTTATCATAATCTGATATAAGATTGACTCATAACATGAAACCTCTCAAGCCTAAGTGCGATTTCTACGTCATGATTCAGAATCTAAACTAAAACAACACAAAGTCATAAACAAAAAATACTTGAGAATTATTATTCTACCGTCATTAGGCGAAATCTATGGAGGAGCAGGGTGGTGATACTCCGAGTTAAGAGTAGTAGAAGAAGCTAGGTGCTGTTGCTGCGTTATTTGCGGAGGACCTCTCTGTAACTCCCCACCTTGACGTGACGGTTATTGTTGTGGATCACCATACATTACCGTATATCTGGAACACCCCGCCGTGCGGCTCCATCTTCTCCTCATCTAGAACTCGCGCATTTTCTTTTTTTTCAATTGGTGAGTCTTGTTTCATAAATATGTATGCGTATTGTATTGTATTGTGATCACATGAATAGTAGTGGATAATAAGATTATTACTTAATTATTAAATTAAAAAATTATCATCATTTTATTTTAAGTGTTTGTTTAATTAAAACATAATTATAAATATAATTAATCTTAATAAGATTCTATTCATTTTTGTAACAAGTTAAAATTACATCTCATATATGCTTAATATATTTTATGAACACCAATTCAAACAGAAATATTTAAATAAAATAACTCTTTATCTTTTTAATCAACAATAACGAATGAAGGTGCGTAAATCATTATGTGAGTATAATATAAAAAGTTTAAATTACATCTAAAAGTAATAATCACGTTATATAATTTTTTCTTATAATATGATAGCATTACATTAGAACTTTTAAAGACATTAAAAAAAAGTTAAAACTGATGTAAAAAGACATAAATTTTTTTAAAAAAGTAACATTGAAATTATATTTTAGAAAAACTTTCGAACTGAGTTATATATATGTATAATTAATTTTAATATATAAAAATTATTAATTTATATATTAAGTGAGATTTATATGATTTTTAATATATTATTTTATAAATTTAACAAATTATTAATTTATTAATTATGTTGATCTCATATCAAGATCAATTAAAAATATTATTTAATCAAAATCATTAATTTATAAAAATTTTACTCTATTTATGCTGAAAATGTGTGTTTATGATAAATGGTATAAGAATATATCTAAAATTTCACTAATATGATGCTCTCGTAACAAATACAAAAATCTAGACTGTGCAGTGTAAAATCGTCACCGATCCACATTATAAATATGAGCCCGCTTGCACGTATTACGTATGTCCTTGTTCCTGGCCTTATTGAGGGATCAAACTGAACAGATAAAAAGTTGGATGACAACATTGAATACGATTTAAAAAACACGGGCGTCTATAAAGAATTTTTAAGTTGTAACATAAAAAATACCTTCCCAGCGCAGCCACACGGGTTCAGCCCCGCGAGATTTAGGAGCAGGAGGCTGCTTAGTAAAACTTGCCTTTTTTTTTACTTCTCCTCTGATCCAATTCATCAAACGGGTATGACCCTTAATTTTCTTTTGTTTTTGGTTCATGAATTTGATTCTCTGATCTGGGTTCTGAGTTTTGATGGGTTTAGATTGAATAGTTTGTTTTTCTGATTGAATTTTATCTAATTTTGCCATTCTGATTTGATGATGGAAGATGGGTGTTTTCTGTTTGTCTTCATTTTGTGGAATATCATGGGTAGTTCCTGTTTTAACCTTCAATTCTTGGGTCTTAAATACTGCAAGTTCAATATGTAGAACTTGAAAAATAGGGGGAAAAAGACACAGCTTTCCATAAGAATTCTTAGGGAAAGAGATTAATTAAGCTACAGTAATTGAACACACCTTGGGAGGGGCATAACTCAATCTATGTTGCGCCTTTGTCCTGGTTCTTTTACTTCTTTTCAGTACTTGAGTTTTGTTACTCTGCTGCTTGGTTGTTAGGGATTAGTTCATGATTTCTGTATTTTGGCATGGAACTGATTCTTTTGTGAGATAAATTCTGCTCATTTATCAAACATTGTTGGAAGTGTTCCTTCTGATCATTTGAGTCAGTTATACGGTATGGGAAAGAAGGCTACAGGTATAAACTTCCCATGAGTGTTTAACTTTATAATATTAGCTTTCGAGACTGATATCTAATTTTAGTTTTTGGCTTTTGATCAACAATTTGCAAATTAGCAAAACTAAATGTTTTATTGTTTTTGTTCTTCCATACTTGATGATGAGTCTTTCAATATCTCAATCTTATATGAAGCAACCCCTTTTTCAAGGCACTTAGTAATAATAAATTGTAAAGATGAAGATAAATAGTGAACTCTCTTCTCTGAAAGAAAGGTAAGGTACCCGGTTTCAAAATGTTCTATGACCTCCCCTGTTGCTCTGTATATCTCTTGATTACTTTATTGTAAGCATGGTGCCATAGACACCTAGTTGTTTCTTGTCAAGTACAAGCATCATATCAGAAATTTCTTTGAAATTATTTTGTTTATTACTTTTGCTCACTTTGTTTCTCTAAGTCTAGAAAAATTTGTGCTTGCTCAGAAAATTTCAAATGCAATAACTATAGGACATGTTTATAAATAAACTAGTCATAATCAAATTTTCAATAAAAAGAAGCTGCTTTTATGCAGTTAATATATTCATCCTTAAAACGATTATGGGCTCGCAGCTGCTGCCTTTGTTATGTGCATATGTACCCATCTCCTAGTGGCATCAAACCTATTTAATCTATTAGCATTCTTGTGATGCATGCAAGGGGGGCCACATCTGGACACTTTGAATCAATTTTTGGAAGAAAAGAAAGAAAGAAAATAATGAATGCAATTCAACTTTTGGAATGTGTGTCTGCAAGCTATGTCTTGCCTGTGTATTTGTGTTGTTTTCCTCCAACTAAACTTCTTTATTTACATCTGATTAGGATTTTTTTTTACAATAATGATAATAGGTACAAATATCTCTTACAATTGGGAGCAACAATTTTTGCCACAGTTGATGTAGTATCCTTCAGCACCTGCTACTCCCCAGGATTCAACCGTGATTGTACTTCATTGGTTTTGGGGAAAAAGTGGTTTTGGAGTGTAGGAGATAAAGGAGAATCTTTGTTTCAAAATGGTTGCTTCAGCGAAAGTTCTCACCCTTGATAATCATACTCAAAATGGAGAGTGGACTATTGTTTTACCTCGTAGGGGTAGACATAGAAGGAATTGCCAAAAAATAACAACAGCGAAAGGACAACAACAAGAACAACAGCCATGGGTTCCAACTGATGTTGAAATTGATCCTGTGAGGCAATCAAAGCTTCTGAATAAGATACAAATCTGTATGAAGAGAGTTGAAAACTCTCGTTTTTTTCTGACATTCTTGGATCAAATGCAATGTCCAGAAGTCTTGAATCACTTTCATAGGATTTTGGGATCTGAATTGAAACTGCAGATGGTGATATACGGTATTGGCAGCATTGAGTCTCATGAAACTCCTCGACTTCAGCTTAGCCTTGCAATTTTAATGAAAAGAAATTTCAGTTGGATTGGAGATATTGAGGTGTTTGATCCAGTTCTATCTGCTAATGAATCTCGTGTTTTAGAAGCCCTTGGATGTTCTGTTTTGTCTCTAAATGAACAAGGTAGGCGGCAAGCTATGAAGCCAACACTTTTCTTCATGCCACATTGTGAGGCAGAGTTATACAACAATCTTTTACAGTCAAATTGGGGCATTGAGTCATTGAATCGGGTAGCATTGTTTGGGAATAGCTTTGAGACATATGAGCAGCATGTGTCATTTAAGTACAATGAGCCGGAAGTGTCATTTATGGACTCATCTGTCGTTGAGTCAGTCACACACATCTTAGCTGCTCGAAGATTCACTGATGAATTCAGAACCAATACAGTTTCAGATGATTATTTTGCAGCTTTTCATGATTCTAGTTGGCATTTTTTCAGGCCTGCTTGTGAGAATGAGCTGCAGTTGAATTGATTTGTGATTGTTATTTTGAAATTGACTGGAACATGTTATTTTTGTTCAAAATTATTCGGGTGTGAGTATCCAAAATTCTAGAAATTACTTCACTTCAATGCTATAATATCTATTATGGTTGCTGTTGCTTGATGCCTTTTATCTGATTGACCTGATCATTCATTTTGGCAATAGGCAAGCAGGGTTATTATCATTTGCCATTTGCTTTTTTCTGGGGAGCCAAACATATCTATGTCCATAGGTGCCCTAGTTTTATAATTAGATCTTAAGACTGCTTATTTCTGATATATTGCTAGTTAGCCAGTAAAAGGATTAATTGTTTGCTAAATGCCTTGAGCAAAGCATGTATCACAAAATTCTAGATTTATTCCAATCTTTTCATCTAAATGCAATGCCATAAACTCTACTATGGGTGTCATTGCTTTCATCTGCAAGTTGCTTGACCTGATCATTCATCTTGACAATATATGCAAAGGGTGTCTATTCTTAATGGTTATAACTGACCTAGTTTACCTGATTGATATAAAGACTGCTTGCACTTTAAGATTTGAATTGATGATCTTGGGTTGTATTCCTTTGATTTAACATCAGTTATCCAAATTTTCAGTCCCTTTCACCAGCTCCTAACCACTGCCATAACTTTCAAGTAATTGGAGCCGTGGGTCCAGGTGAAAGGGGACCCCTTGGCAACCAGCTCTAGAGAGAAACACTAATTTATCCATTTAAAAACTTTTAGTTGCCTTTCTCAGTTATCGAGAGCAGAGTTTAATGCTAATAAATTAGATTAATTACTTCCAAGAACTCTTATTGGACAATTTTAATCAAAGACATGGTAAATAAGGTTAGCTGCATTTATGTGTATATTTATATATATATATATATATATGTCTTTATTCTATTAAAATTCATTCCATTTTTATCATATTCTTTTCCATTGAAATGCATGGCAAGTTTCAAAAATGGAAGGAATATTAAAAAGCATTTTTTCCAAAATTTAGAAAACAATTTTCCCATCACCCACAGTTCCACTAATACCCAATGTTTTTGGCATTAGAAAAATCACAAAACTTTCTTTTTATGAGACTTCCATATAAATGGTGAACAACTCAACACCATCAAAGAAAATATAGCATGCATATTTTTCTTACTCAAAAAAAAAAAAAACAAATTAATTAAAAACTTTTATAATACAATTCAACATTAAATTCAATTCGTGGGTATTAATTCCAAGCACATAGGAAAAAAAGTAATTTAAAGAAAAGCAAGAAAAACAAGGGAGCCCGCAAATAATAATTTATTTGATTGGTTTATATTTGAGGTAGTGTTAGTACATAGTATTTATGCAGTATTAATTAACCATAGAGTGTAACTTCATAACTCTGTAAAAGTAAAAATTAAAAAATAAATTAAAATAAATATATTTAAATAATAATATATAAAATCTATACACCGACTATTATTATAATTGTTGTGTCACGAGATTGTTATTTTTCTTTCAAAATATTAATTTGATAATATATGTAATATTCACACTTATAAATATCTCAATATCTCTTATTTATTTAATATAAAATTAAAACATTTCAATTTATTTTTTTAGAAGAATTAGATATGATATTCTTCCCTATCCAATACGATAATACTCTCGTTGCCATTAATCACCTTGCTTGCTTCCTCTAAAAATGCTTAGCGTGAGTCGAGTCTATTATGATACAAAGTTTATTAATTTAAACATTAAACATTAAAAAAGATTTGTTGAATTTGAAATTATTAAAAAAAAAAGTTGAATTTGAAAATGTGTTTATCTGTTGATAACACGTGTATTGCACGTGAGTTAGGTATAATAATAAAATAACAATAATAGACACAGACACCTTTCTTCCTAAGACACCAAATTCAAACTAAAGGCAAACCGCGTCTTTCAAAATAGGCGGTGAGGTGAGCTGGTCACCGTCTCTCACCTCATTCACCTAGAAACTCAGTTTTCTCCCCCAAATAAATAATAAATAAATAAATAAATAAATCCTTTTTCTTTTAAATTTTCCGTCCATAATTTCATTACAACTCACAAAAAATAATTACCATAAATTTATTTTACCATTTTCATCTTAATAGTGTTAATATGATACTTGATTAAAGATAATTTAATTATTATAAAAGTTAAATTTAAGAGTAAAAATTAAATATAATTTTTATATGAAATATTATACAAAATTTAATTAATTTATTTAGCTTTTATCAGTATAAAATTTAAAATATTTTATAAATAATAATGATTTAATATAAACAAAATTTCTTGCTTCGATGCTACGTTTACCAAAAAGCAGAGCTCCTCCTCCACATTTCTTTCTTCCTCCCCAAACAATAAAGCTAACAAAAAGATCCTTCATTTCCTTCAACCGACGAAACGACTTTTCTTCCTCTCTTTTTCTAAAGTGAAACGCAAACCGACATCATCATCATCATCAACAACAAGAACCCAAAACCAAAAACCAGTCCAACCCCCCAAAAAACAAACCCACCGCACCAACCAAAACCCCAACAAAAGAACACCCCATTGTTCCATATTGGTTTTCAATCTTGATTTTGTTTTTTCTTTGTCAAAAAGTTTGTATTTTCTTGTTTATTCGTGGGTTTTTCTGATCTGGGTCGATGGCGGAATCGGAAGATAACAAGGCGAAATCATCGTCCGGGTCTATGTTCTTCAATCGCTCGTTTACTATGCACGCCACGGCAGCTGAATCCAATCCCCCCAAAGTTCATTTTCTTCTCAACAATCCGTCGCTTAATCGGGCGGCTTCCATTTCCAAAATTTACAATTCAATCGATTCCGTCAAAGGTAAAGTTAGAAAGCTTTGCAGTTTATTCGAATCCGCCAAATCATCGTTGTCTTCATCAAGCTTGACAGCAAGTCCAAAGGAATCTGTGCCCAAGGTTGTTTTAAGACCCGCGAAATCAATTGGCTATTCTTCCTCGTTTTCTTCGAGTTTTAATAACCCTTTGATAAGATTACCGGGCACTGAAGATCGAATCGTTGTTTATTTCACTAGTTTACGAGGGATTCGAAGGACTTACGAGGATTGTTATGCTGTGAGGATGATATTTAGAGGGTTTAGAGTATGGGTGGATGAAAGAGATATTTCCATGGACGCAGCTTACAGGAAAGAGTTGCAAAGTGTTTTGAAAGAAAAAAATGTGAGTTTGCCGCAGGTTTTTATAAAGGGAAAGTGTGTTGGTGGTGCTGACGTGATTAAAAGCATGTTTGAAGTTGGCGAATTGGCTAAGATTCTTGATGGATTTCCAAGGAGACAACCTGGGTTTGTTTGTGAAGCTTGCGGGGATGTGAGGTTTGTGCCTTGTGGGAATTGTAGTGGGAGCCGAAAAGTGTTTGATGAAGATGAAGGGTTGCTTAAGAGATGCTTGGAATGCAATGAGAATGGCTTGATTCGGTGCCCGGATTGCTGCTCTTAAAACTTTGATTGCTACTGGGTCTTAACTCTTAAGGTATATTTAGAAGCTTGCTTGTTTCGTTTATTAAGGTATATTGATGATGCGGGTAATGGTTTGATGTGTTGGGTATGAAACGTTCCTTAGCAGAGAGCTGATGATCGTTTGTTGTCTTGTTCAACTGGATGTTGACAATAATGGTGCAATGTAATCAAAATGCCATATTTGGTTTGGGCATTTTGATTGTCAAGGAGATCGTTTATTTCTCCTATATGGTATTGTAAATATTTAGTGTTATTTAATGTAATGCACTTGCATATGTTGCAAATGACAAATTGTAATGTGAATAGACTATTTATGCCTTATTGAGTCCACTTTGTAATCAAAGAAACTTTGGAGCATATATACCTGAAATTTCATTCTTTCATATGGAACCAATAGTGTGGATATGATTTGGGGTTTGTTTCAGGCCTTCAGCTTAAGGTACCTAATTGCTTATCACTGTGGAATTATTCCTAATTGAAGGAAAGGGTAAATAGTATGCAAAAAACGGTTTGAATATTTAATCCGTGTAGGGTCCTATTCATGGGAGCGTAGAGTAGACGATTGTGAGGTTTTATACAGATTTGATGCATAGATACCGCAAATGTCAACTATCTATCAGAATGTATTGATCTGATGTCCTAACTACCTTTCTTTGTCCCAATTTCTACCAGTGCTAAGCAGCCCTTAATGCCTCTGTCTAGTCATGTTTAAGAATTAAAGATGCTCCAAATGATCAATTATTCTGTGCTTAAGGAGTCTAGAATTATTAACTGAGTGGTTAAGAATGCCCCTCTATTATTATCTTCATTCTAACCCCTTCTTTTTTTCTTTTCTTTTTTAATTTGATTTTTATTTTTAATGAAATTGCTGTAACAATCTCTCAACCTTTGTGATACCACCTTTTTCAGTTATTCGAGAGCATAAGTTATATGTGCAGTGCTCTGCATTTCTGTTTGTCAATATGTTAATGGAGTATTGTTTTTGAATTTAGTTTGTAGGATTTTGCTCTTTTGTCTTGTGATTCATGACAAGTCTGTTTTACCAAACGTGCTTCCTGGTTTGTTTTTACTTTTTACCCTTAACAACCTCTGAAGAGCAGCACATATTGTTCTTTATGATCTGCTGCATGTTTAACTCATATATCTAACATATATATCAGGATTATATCCTGTTTTGGTTTCCTGTTTCTGAAACTACACCTAAATTTGGGATGCTTCTGACCTGAATTCTTCCCTAGTTTGGTTGGGGCAATCTATCTCTGTCATAATTTAGGTGACTAGTCGCCATCAAAGCTTCTTAGGCAGTATGATGGAGTAACCATTAATCACTTCATCTTCAATCCTTTCCTTTCTATTACAATAATATTCCAGGGATGAGTCAATGGATTGATCAACGGTCATAGATGAAATTATCTTTTTTTCTTTTTTGATGTTATTATGTTGTTTTCATTTAATAGCTTTGTTTCTTTTGAAGAGAAACAAATGCCTTGCACAGCTGCTTGAAGATGTAGTGTCCTGTCAATCAATATTTATGAAAGTTGCATGTTGAAATAGATTTGCCAAAAATGTCAACCAAACCATTGATTGTCCCAAATTGAATTTTCAGGTTTGCTTTATAGATTAGTTGCAATGCCACAAAGGGATTTTTTGCCATTTGATTGCAGCCAGCATAGCTATCACTTCTCCTTTGATATTCTCTGATAGCCACTTCCACACCCATATGGCATCCCTGAACAGACACAACTACACCAATGTTAAAAACTTCGAACACACCTTGATGTCGTTGTGTCCATTGCACCTCTTGTTACAAAACCTTCCCCCTCTGACCAAAACTATTCCTGTCCGATCGGCATTCTGAGCTAAGGATTCCTCCGGCAACATGAGAGCTCTTCCTACTTGTCCATGTAGAAACTCATTCTTTGCGTTCCATATACTTTATACGATCAGGAATTCATGGATCCTTTTTATCCTGGAAGAGCACACCGTAAATCCAATCCATCACTTCACTGCCTCTAGCAAATGCAACTTCATTCCCATTTTAATGCATTTCCAAACTTCACTAGCCAACTTTTGATGATAGTTTAAATTTTTTAAATTGTGAACCAAAAAAACAACAAGGTTGATGGGGCAAATTAGATTAATTAATTTGGCGTTTGACCAATTCGAATGCCTAAGTTGAACCCAAATTTTGTGGGCTAGATATTTCTTTTCTAGCCTGCAAAACTTCCTGGCCTGTTAATCTTACCTTAAACCCATTTTTTTTAATTATTTGCTTTTTTTGTGGAAAAATTAAATTAGTTTTCATTTATTTATTTAAAATTTTACAAATATTATAAAGTATTTATAAGGTTTGGGTGCCTTATCAAATAATAGAATTCTAGTTAGGATACTTGAAAAATAATGGGTACCTTGATAACCTTATATCTAATTCCAAACCGGAAATATATATTAAAATTATTTCAAGAAATGAACATGTAGGCATTTGATATCCTTATATCAAATTCGAAACTGAAATATGCATTAACATTATTTCAAGGAATGAACATGTAGGCCTTTAGTTAGTATTATTCATATTTGCTCAAGTTTTTGGTCCTAAGCTACCAACATGAGCAGCACAACATTCAGACATAGAGAAAGAGCGTTGCCTTTGACAAACACAGGAGTAATGAAAATGGCTCGCACGTATTCAGACTGCCAATTCAACCACCAAAGTTACAGCTTGCTATTCCCTAAAATAGTACTAATATATAAAGCTATTCCTTCTTCCATATCTAATGCACAATCCAATAGAAAAAGGAAAACCTTTTCGAACATGTCCGGAGCTTATGGCAAAGTCAATGAGGCCGATCAAGCAAGGCTCCAGGCTCGTCGAAAAACCAGGAGGAGAATTGCCATCATTAGCCTGTCTTTCATAGTCCTTGCTACTATTGTAGTCGCTGCTGTTTTTGGAAGTCGAGGGTCTAGAGGAGACTCCAAAAATGGTGGCAATGGTGGAGTTCAGCCCATCTCTAGTTCTATCAAAGCTGTATGTGATGTGACCTTGTATAAGGATACGTGTTACGATAGTCTTGCTCCTATGGCTAACTCCAACCAGCTTCAACCTGAAGACATCTTCAAGTTGTCAATGAAAGTAGCCATTGCTGAGCTATCAAAAGCATCCCAGTATTTCTCCAAGAATGGAATTTTTAAAGGTGATGCTGATAAGATGTCAGTTGCAGCCTTGGAGAATTGTGGTGAACTTTTGAGTCTAGCAATTGATCATCTTAATAGCTCCTTATCATCATCAGATGAAGTTTCGGTTATTCAAGCTGTGGATGATCTCAGAACATGGCTAAGTTCAGCTGGTACATACCAGCAGACCTGCATTGATGCCTTTGAAGAGCTCAAAGGAGACACCAAGGCCGGTGTTCATGACCATCTGAATTATTCTTCTGAACTAACCAGCAACAGCCTCGCCATTATAACATGGATTTCAAAGGTTGCAAATGCGTTGAATCTAAGGCGATTAATGAGTTTTCCTCCCAACCATGAAGAGCCAGAGTGGTTTCATGTGAAAGACAGGAAGTTACTTCAAAGTTCGGACCTCTTGAAGAAGAAAGCTAATATTATTGTGGCAAAAGATGGCTCTGGTAAGTATAAGACTATCAGTGCTGCCCTCAAGGCAGTTCCTGACAAAAGCAAGAAGAGGACTGTGATCTATGTGAAGAAGGGGGTTTATAGCGAAAATGTAAGGGTGGAGAAGGAAAAATGGAATGTCACCATGATTGGTGATGGGATGGAATCCACAGTTGTATCTGGAAGCCTCAACTATGTTGATGGGACTCCCACATTTTCAACTGCAACATTTGGTGAGTTTTCAAATACTAATTTAGATCCTCATTAAGATTGACAAATTGTAATTTCTAACAGTGCAAACTTGCATTTCTTTGCAGCTGTGTTCGGAAAAGGCTTTGTTGCTCGAGATATGGGATTTGTCAACACTGCTGGACCGCAAAAGCACCAGGCAGTAGCCTTGATGTCAACTGCAGACCAATCTGTCTTTCACCGGTGTTGCTTTGAGGCTTTTCAGGACACTCTCTATGCACATTCCAACCGCCAATTCTACCGTGAATGCAACATTACAGGAACAGTTGATTTCATATTTGGAAACTCAGCTGTTGTCTTCCAAAACTGTAACATACTCCCTAGGCAGCCTATGCCTAACCAACAGAACACAATCACTGCTCAAGGGAAGGTTGACCCCAATCAAAACACCGGGATTGCTATTCAGAATTGCACCATTTTACCTTATGGGAAGTTGGATACCTCTTTGGGAACATACCTTGGACGACCCTGGAAGAATTATTCCACAACCATACTCATGCATTCAAATCTTGGGAACTTGATACATCCAAAAGGGTGGTTGCCATGGAGTGGAACTACTGCACCAGACACCATATTCTACTCTGAATATAAGAACACCGGCCCTGGTTCTTCAACCAAGGATAGAGTTAAATGGAAAGGTTTGAGAAGTATTACTGATAAAGAAGCCAAAAAGTTTACAGTCAAGGAATTCCTCCGTGGGGACAAGTGGATCTCAGATACTGGTGTTAGCTATAAGTCTAGTTTGTAATTGCAACATACATGATGGAGATGCATCATTTATGCTAACTTTTTTTTTTTTGGTTTTTTCTTCTTCATTTTTCCCCTTATACACATATATTATAATGGCAATGTTTCACTTTCACACCCATCAGATGACAAATTAAGCAGCTGATGTCAGAAGTTTGGAATAAAATATACTGTCCCCAAAATTTTGTGAGATAAAACTGCTTGCTTCTATAGTTTTGCGGCTGCAGAAACCAATATATACATTTACTGATTGTTGTTAATCTATTTTCCACCTTCGTACTCAACTTCTGCAAGAGATTGAATCCAATTTCTCCCCAAATCCTCACTTCCTGTATGCTGAGATCATATGTTTCTTGATGATCAAAGTGGTACCTTCAAACCTTCTGGATTTGTATCTTCTGAACCTTTCTTGATTTGCTTGAAGATTTTCACACTCGGTGTCGCAACGTGGCGACTCCCTAACCCACATCAAGACGAACCTAAACAAAAAAGATTGACGGTAACTCTTTAACTCATATCGAGGTGATTGGGTTCTCGGGTTTTTAAATTTGCACGTTGCGACACTTAAATATGTTAAATTTTCAGTTTGCAAGAAAGATTAAACTAGAAAAAAAAATCATTGAGGAAACATTTTCTTGATGTGTGTAGAATTAGAATTCAAGATTTAACATCCAAAAATATATGGTGGTCGATTTTTTCCTTATATCTCATCATAAAGTCAAATTACAAGTCAGGGTTTCTACTTAATAACATTAGCAGTCATATTATTAGCTCAACTCAAATTATAATTAATAACCATCTTTATTATTATTATGTTTTGGATAATTGCAAAATTTGTATTCAATCAATAGAAGCAGACAAGCGGCTACAAGAAGAAGAAGATAGCTAGTAGCAGAACAAAACTCAGCAACAAAATCAGCCAAACTACATAGTAGTTTGATCAAAATACTATTGTAGTTTCTCCAAAAGATTTGAATCTGTTTGATTTCACCCATTTTTCAACACTATTATATGTATCCGTTAAAGTTTTCCCTAATAGTGTTATTACTTGCTTCATTGGAATTTTGAAAAGATTAAGAGGGACCCTAGTGCCAGACCACTCTCCCTAAAGGTGAAATTTGCCCAATTTAGGCCCCAAGTTGAGAAAGCGGGGAAGATGAAAGAAAGGAGAGTAAAACCATTGTAGGGAGCAAGGCTGATGAGATTGCAAGTGGGTTGCTGCAGAGTTCCACCAGCATCCGTATACCATTGCCTCACTCTATAAGTGGGGGTTGCCTGCTCATCACTGAGGACACACAAGCTCACTCGAGCTTACTCTCTCGACCACTTCATAGTCCTCCCGAGATGTTCCCCCTCAATGCAAGCACATGTATTACTTACAACATCAGAGCAGTAAATATTCAAAATGCATTTGCATGCATCATCTTGAACATTCAAAGTGGGACAAAAACCTCCGGGAAGGCATACTTAACCTAGACAATGTTTCCTAAATTACATTATCCATTCAAAGTGGATAGAAGTGGAATTTTGACATCCCAACATGTACCTGAGTCTTTTTGACAGCTATTGAGTTAGGGGAACACATTCGAGCTCAATCTCTAGCACCCCTCTCTCAACATTTTGTAGCCTAAGAGAGATTTCCTGTTTTACTTTTCCATCTACTAAGGTGATGATACCATCTTTAACTAGGGTGTTGTCTTTGCTTGCTACCCATTTCCCAAGCTGCATTGATTCCCGAAGCTCCGAGTTCTCACAGGCTTTGGCAGCAGCAACCAGCGGTTGAATGTCAATCTCGGCATCCCCCATAAAATCATCAGTTGAGAAAGTATCCTTATCATACACAAGCTGCATACAAAGACTCGAACAGCAAAACGAATTAAGATTAAACCAGGCCATAAAAAGCATTTTCAATGAAACATTGGACTTATCTATTTGACAAGGAAAGGGAGAGGGAAATACATGCTCACTACTGTTACCTAACCTGAAACAGTTTTTAAGATCCCCACATTTCCTTTCTTTCTCAGAAATCAGTCAGTGCTTATAATATCTTGGGGCTTCTAGAGAACATGCAATCAATTAAGAGTATTCTTCACGATTTACACACATAGTACTCTCACTGTAATGAAGCTAAATTTGCAAAATGTCAAGCAAGCTATATATAATTCCACACCAAGTTTTACAGTTTTTTTTTTTGAGCAAAAGAACCCGACTCACCACTTTTAAAGGAGGAATGTTTTCCGGAATGGACAACATTAGGCTTTCATTCCAGACTGGATTTAGGTTGTTCTTTATGACGCGGGTCTTCACAGACTGCAAAAACGAATTATGAAGGATTTAGATTACTACCACAACTTGCTTCATAAGATATGCCCATTTCAGTTCAATGTATAAAAAAGTCACTATATTAGTGAAAAAAAGAAGCATACTTGTTGACCCAATGCAAGAATCACATATGGGTCGCTAGTCATCATATCCCGAACAGCTAGGTTGGTGCCTTTAACCACATTCACCTTAACCAGGCCAATAAATTCAACCATACCTGCCTATAAAAAGTACATTTAGAGAAAAAATAACATTCAGTAACACACTTTAATGCAAATTCCATTTGTCATTGAATTTCAAAAACTAAGATGTCACAGTACTTGCTTGTTGCTTTATTCAGATAAATTATAATCAATAGCCTTCAAATTTTAACTAGAATGGTGCATCCTAAAAAACTGCATATTGTCAATGCAGCATACGCTATCAATGAAAACGTGGCACTTATTCTCTGGACTGCATATATAACATCTCTTAGCCAAGAATTAGTCATTTATAAAGTTTCTATGCATTTTTCCTTTCGTTACCTTCAATAAGAATTTTTAACTACAAAATCCATATTTTCCACTATTAGTGGTTCTAAGCACATTGTTCACACTCCGTGGGCATGCACATACATGTGCACACCATTTTGACACCTTCATAACCACTTAAGGGGCTCTGAGAAATAAAATTCCTTGAAGCTTTTTCTAAGAAAACATTGATATATCCAAAAACCTCAACATTGCCGCACTACCAGCTAGTTTGCAGAAATCAGAGGTATAGAAAATTTTTTCTGATTTAGAGATCTTCATTTTACTTACTACAAATTAAGGAGAGATAGTCAGGTATTAATTAAATTGTAACAACCCTCCGTTTCTTATTTAACCAAGTGCGGCCCATACACCTATCATCACCATCCATGTTTGTGGAACCCACTTCTGAATTGTGGATCTCATGTATATGACTGGTAATGATAGGTGTAGGATAGAATCAGTATGTAATGTAACAGAGGTGAGCAACACCAGTAAGCAATGTGCATCCATGACCTATCCACATTTAATTATAAATAGCACCTATAATTTAAAGATTAACACAAGTTAGAATCATCTCATGTAAGCCTTTTTTTGCCACAAACTTAGAAGTAAACAAAGTGGTCAGTTTACCCTATTTTGTTAAAAACAAGTTCGAGATATCTATTTGTCTTTCTTCAATAAAGCAGTATCAGAAAGCAAAAGTATTTTTCCCAGAATAGCAGGTATGCTTCAAATAGGTTGCTCTTTAACGAAGAAGTGCTTCCAAAAGCAGAAATTGATAATAAGCACCAATTAAACAAGAAATAATTACCAATGAGTTGCTCTTCTTAGTGGACTTGTGCTCAGAATCTTTTCTTCCCCAGCTGTTTCTAAATTTGTGCCCTATACGATGTCTGGTTGGTTGTTTCTCACACTGTTTTTTTTCTTGGGTAAAATGTTGGCCTGCAGAACAGTGTGGAGTTGAAGATGAAGTTTTCTGATGAGGTGGGTAGGGGCAGATCATTTGTTCATTTCCATCCAAAAATTGCAGCATCTCATATTTTCTCCTGAGAATTCAAGAAATAGAGTACTAAGCAAAATGGTATAAGTGTTCTTGCCAAAGCAGGTATGACAAATTTAAGTTGGCATTACTTAATGAAATCAGAGCGCTCCTCAATGGAGGAATCTGGTCTGGGCTTTTTGAGGTTATCAGGAAGGCAAGCTTCATACTTATTGTTTGCTACAGTATTGCCACCCAAATTTACCAGGGAATCAACTTGGTCATCTGTCCATTCATCTAGCTTCACTGATAAAACCTAGCACAATGGCTTATGAAATTAGAAAATTAGCGGATAAGTGCATGTATGTGCATCTATGCATGTGTTCTCTGCGTGTGTGTGTGTGAGTGTGTGTGAGAGTGAGAGAGAGAGAGAGAGAATTTCTTAGGCTCAATTGTAAGAACTAATATTAGAATACTACAAATTATCCAGAAATAGTTCACCAGCAACTGATTGAATAGACTATATGGCAAACTTCGAAAGAAAGTATCTATTAAAAAGAATTTTCTATTCATGACATACTAATGATCATCACATCCTTTATCCCAGAAACTAGAAGCATGCTTCATGGAGATGACAACTCCCTTATCCGATTTCTACTTAAGTTATTATATAACACAATAAAAACCATGATTAGCTTTGTCACAAGGCCAATAATTTGCTCATTCCTCTATGTATTGTTTTATTGCTTGGGTAACTACTAGCTGCTAATTTTCTTTCTCATAATAGCTGGTTGTCATATCTAACTGCTTTAGCTCAAACCGTGCACACTTTACCCAGATGATGGCTGAAGGTAGCGGACATGGGGATGGCAGATTCAAGATGCATTAATGCAACTGTCAGAGTTTCATATCAGCAGAATCCTTGCCTAGCTTATTTAAAGTAGTAATTTCAACTTTTATAAGTCTTTAGGATATCTCAAAAGCCAGTTAATGACTGCGCAATGTAATATAATCAGTTACTCAAACTTTGTTTAAGAAGGAAGATTAGGAGCATAATCTGAGGACCGCACCTTTGATATATGCACTCCAAGGCTTCTATGAACACCAGAGCATTTGATACAAATAAATACTCCAAGACTTACAGATCTGATATCCATCAAATAATAGTCAAAAGAAAGACAACGTCAATCAAATATACCAAATTTAAGCACAAATAAAACGGGAAAGCTGCGGCAAAGAGGCAAAAAAATGAATTATAGTCACTATGACAGATATCAGGGAATACTTTAGGTTCAAGGCATCATAAACAAATGAAACAGAGAAAGAGAGAAAGCCTCCAAAAAAAGAAAAATATGGTGGATCATGCAGAAATGATATTATTTGCAAAAGGCAAATATTTGCAACAATCAGAAATAAAAAAGAAATTACTAAATAAAATGATATTTTTTCTTCAGCAATATGTTCCTTTTCCCCTTAATATGGATGAAAGAAGCTACTGTGTACAAACTCCTTAAGCTCAACCAAGAAATCATTTTCTTTTCTTTGAGTATATATTTTATTGGGAAGAAAAATGGACAGAGTAAACTGTCATGATATTTACCTTATAGAGGCCTAGACTGCACTATAGTTTTCTCAGGCAGGGTTGAAAAGTCCAAAGAATTACACATTAATATGATCGTACTAGAAAAGTATTTCTTGAGGAATGCCTGAGAAAAATGAACCCCAAATCTATTACTAGAGTTAGAAATGAGAAGGCCAGACAGTTATTTTCTACCATGACAACTATTTTCTTTCCTATCACCCCAAGCCAGGAGTAGACAGATTGCACATATTCAGTTTTAATACCTGAATACGCCTCCCAAAAGTTGGGAATGAAATCAACTCAAGATACATTCACCACACTTAAAAGAGTATGCAACTTGAGATGATGTTCCAAAAAGTAACATACCATTACCTAAGCCTTGAGAAATGCAAACTATTTTCTGGAAATGAACAAATTAGACAAGAAAAATTTCCAATAAGTCAAAACATGATACTTACACCCATTTTGGATCTGGGGATCCACAATCTGCACAAATCCCATTCCCAGACTCATGCAACAAACTCTCCAACCTTCTTCGCGGACCTGTTTAATGCATAATAGAAGTTATCACTTAAAAATGACTCAGGATACTCAAGCAAAGTAATTTGTTAGACTGCAGGAAAAAACTAGTTAAGGACCTCAAGGGGATAGCATGTAACATGTTAGAAATTGGATTTATGTCCTTTGTGCATCACCAAATTTTATATTGCAATTTCTATTTGAGAACTTGCGATATAATGCTTGAAACAAAAAATTTGAGTTATTAAAGCCCATAATACCAGTGGATTTCCATGTGTCCTTTCTCTGAATTGAAGATGATGTCTCTGCATCACTTACTCGATTCCAACTTGGTGTTTCTGAACATAAGAGATCATATAAGCAAGAGCCTGACCCTGCAAATGCAACATATTAAATAAACCAAACATCTTATTAGAAAATGTTAGTTTTTGGAAACATATACGGTAATATGCTAATTGGGGAACCACTATCCCGATACTGTCTACTAGGACCATATTTTGGGGATACCATAAGAAGCTCAACATGTCATGAGAAGCAAACAATTGATCACCAGCTCACAAGTTCATGAAACATAAATACTAATACATAAAAGGACTCTTTGCCTAGGTACAAGGAAATGGATCATTGCTCATCAAAATTGATTCAAAAACACAGACAACCATAAATAATATCATTATCATTCATGGAGAAAATAAGATAATTTGAGAAGTGAAATTATCTACCAAATTATCAGACGGGTCAACATATGAAGCTCAATAGTTTTATACTGTTCCTCCCAAACACTGGTAAAATTAAGCCAACATTGTTTCCATGAACTAGTTTCTTTATAGCACAAATGAGTCTGTTTTAAACCATAAAACCATAAAGAGATAATATCATGAATCATGTTTTCTTCATCCCAATATTAATGTTGTCAAAAAATTTCAGCCATTCCATCAACAAAAAGGAAAATTTGTGCTTTCTTGGCAACAATGCTGATGATGGATGGTTATCAATATTTCCATGTTTTTTCATTTCCTTCCTGTATATGTCATTCATGGAAAATATAAAAATAACAAATAAGGGAAACAAAAGGGAAAAAGCTTTTATATATATATATATATATGAAACATTACCAGAAGAAGATTTGGGATTAGAATTTCCATGCTGGGTAGACATCTCCATCCTCCAAATTGAAGATCCTAATCATTAATCACTGCTATTATCTGGAAACACCCATTTATCAGTTCCTTAATCTGGATTGAAACAAAATAAACACCCATTAGACAAGAATAAAAAAATCCCATAATTTTATTTTAAAAAAAACAATTCTTACATTGAAAAGTATTTGGCTTTTCAGTCGAAAATGAGATAATCTCAATGAAAAAAGGGGCCTTTGAAAAACTTTTCGTCTGCATCATACATGATGTTGACCAATAAAAAAAATTCCAAAAAATGGATCAAAACTAATGCTAAAGAGAAGAATTGAAAAAGGGTTGTTCTTACATTCTTCGAAAAACCAAATTATAAAGTCAATGAAAGGTTTTCATGAGAATTGGAGAAGTTTGCCTAAATTGGCAGAAATGGGTAATTTTTTATTTATTTAATGGTTCTTTTTAATGTTAAAAAACCAAAAAACAAGTCAAAGAATCATAGGAGTTGGATAAGGAAAGAAGCAAATGTTGTCTGAATTTGATTTCTTTTTTCTTTTCAATTAATTTTTATAAAAAAAATTTATTAATTTTTTAATAATAGAATGTGACGAAGAATAATATCCTCCAGAAAAGTCAAAGTCGGAATTCTGGGAGTTAAAAGCCTCTTTTTGGTTGTTGGTTTCTTACCACACGCACGAGTGCTAGAGAACCAATAGCTCTACGCCCGCTTTTTGCGCGTGAAGACACTCGCAATTTTCATGTAATTCATTTTCTGTTGAAATTTCTTTAAAAATATATTTTTTTGATTTTTTTTTGTTTTTTCACTCTATAACTTATAAAATCAAGTGTTTAAGGGGTATTGTCTTTTTATTTTAACTAGAGTTTGAGTAATAAATTTGAAGTTAAAAAGTAGTCCAATAGTTAATGAGTTTAGACATTTAGATAAATAATAAAATTAGAGTATAAATATTATGAAAATAATAATTACTCTATTCGATGTCATTTCTAACATTGGTTTTGTCACTGGTTGCTACTCACGTCAAATTTTACAAACGAATTTACGAATGCATTTACCTCTTTAAAAGTGTAACGTAACTCTATATATATATTTGGTAATTTTTTAATAATTATCAATTTCATTTAAAATATTTAAATAAATTCGAGGCTTACCCATGAAATAACCATCTTTAAATCGGACTCAATAATCAAACTCTTCTTACCTATCAAAACCCAATGTGATAAAAAGAAATGGACTAATTTTTAATTCAGTGCATACAAATAACAAATCTTTTTTTGAAAAAGTTGAGTACTTTCATTGGATCATTAAAAGTTGCTATAAGAACCCTCGCATAGAAGCACTCTTGGCTAGCTTAATTACTTGGCATCTTCCGGTGGTAACAATGCATAGGCACTTATTAGCTGCTGCTGTCTTAGCCACCTTGCTAGTTTGAGCTATGTCTGACTTTGCCTTCTACAAGCTCAGTCTGGTATGACCACCTTCTGGTTTGTAATACTGGAATTGAATGTTCGAAACCCATCCTCAGAATTTTCACCATCCATTGTTTATGGTCACAACTTGCTGATGACTCTCCGGTTCATTTTGTTTTTTGTTAGATCATTTGTGAATTTTCATTAATAAACTTCTAGAGTACAAGCAACTGGTTGACAAGAAGAGGCATCGAAAACAAATTAAAGCAAATGTGGCCAGACCTTAAGAACCGAAAACACAATGAATTTTGACAAATTGAAAGCCAAAATCATGGAATGTAATCTAATTATCCTGTTTAGCATTATAATTATTGCAATATTGCCTTATCACTTGCCACTGATTATGATTTATTTCAAGGTAATCATACACTCAAAAATTACTAAATATAACTTTGATTTCACATTCAATAGCTGCATTTAAGGATGCATAGCTATTCTTTGATTTCACATGTTTTGTTTTCCTCTCCAACCTGTTATGGGATTTAAACCAGGAGATAAATCTCCATACCAAGTGAAAAAGATAGTAGAAGCTGTCCAGAAAAACATGGGAGCTTATTCCTCAAATTGCATGAAACAATCTGCCCACCCCCTACATAACAAATTTAAATCGAATTCATATCTAATTGCTTAGTGAATTACCTATGAATTTAACCTTAGAAATTTAAATATTGATTGATTATCCTTAAATTAGCTTTTAGTAAAAAAATAAGAATTAAATTCATTGAAACAGTAAATTAGGGACTCAACTCAAACTTTGATAAAAAAAAAAAAGGAAAAGCCTATGAACTCTTGTCCTCAATTTTTTTTTGAAAGACCAAATATCATAATATTATTATGAAAAAAATAAGATTATTAAAAATTATAATAAATAAAAACGATAAACATCTGAAAACGTATTGACTGTCAAGCACTGATCAGACAAGAACCAAAAAACCTCACCCAACCCTTGCAATATAGGCCAGATCAACTAATAAATTAGGATTTGATGACAGATCATAATTACTACTTAAGACCAATCAAATTTGAGACATGGTGTTTTCAAGTTATAATACAAATTAGGTGTGTAAATGTTTTTGTTATTAAGTAAAAACAAGTGATATTTATGGATGCTTATATATATATATATATAAAGAAGACAATATAGGAATGTCATATTTAATTAAAGTACGTTTGTCTTTGCAAATACAGACAAAACCAAGGAAATTGAGGCACCCAACAGAATATTTTGAAACAAGCAATCTCAACAATTTTGTCTTGGAGCCAATTATGAAAATATGTTATATACATAACTATATTTTCATTAAATTTTTTCATACCTACATACATACATGAGTAAAATGTTTTTATTTAGAGTAAAAGATAGAGTTACAAGTTATTCATTCTTTAAAGCTTTCAAAACACTACTTACACTTCTAAAATCTAGAGATCTCTTTTTATAATATAAAAGTTCATAATAGAATACGATTAAGACTTCATATGAAATAAGAAGTTTAAAACCATATAATTACTCAATGCTATATGCAAAACAAGAATTCTAATCAAATAAGATTTAGAATTCTAATCAATTTAAAGCTCAACAAATGGCAAAATCAAGAGATGTGTTCTGATTCTCTTAACAAGCCATATGATTATTTTAATGTGTCTTAACTCTTGCCACAAGATACAATTGGAAATTATATACACAAATTTACTAAATATAACTTGGATTCACATGTAATAGCTGCAATACTCTAGAATGCATGGCAATAGCAAGGAGAAATGTTAGCGAAAACATTTGGTTAAGTTTATATTTGTAGAAAATAATATTGGTTCTATATATATATAATTTTTAATTAATACGTTATGCTTTTTGGATGGAAAAGAGTTTTAGAAAAATAATTTTAATTAAGCACGCATTGACAAAACCTTGTAAACAAATAAAATGAAGGCATTGATTATATCTTTTCTTTTTTTTTTCCCTCCAACCAGTTTTGGGAATTAAACCTGGAAATGAATAGGAAGTTAAAGAGATACTAGAAGCTATGAAGAAAAAATGTAGGAGCTTATCCTGAAATTGCATGCAAGAATCTGCCTCGAGTTGATATGCTTCAGCTGTGGGAATTCCGTTTCTGTTTCGAAAGGGCAAAGCCACCGATCGTCCTTCAAGACTGCCCCAACAAATTGGCTGGTACTTGTACACATGAGACTGACCTTGTAAGGTTCTCTCCTGCTTCTCCTATTTATAGTTGTAATGTAATTAGAGAAATCGTTTCTAGCTAGTGGGGGCGTTGCGAAGTAGTAAGAATAAACAAGCAACTCATCAGGCTTAATCTTTGCTTCCTATTCATCTGTCGGAAGATTAAGGTTGGAATCACAGGTCAACTTCCCTTTGGAGTTGCTATTGGCAAGCTGTATGTATATATATATATAAAGAAAGACTTAGGGTAATGCTTGAATTGGCAGTGCAGATTTGAAGCATGTGTAACAAAGAAAACAAAGTGAATATAACAAGAATCTAAAGCTGCACAGTTCTTAGGTTATGCCCTCAGCTAACATCATCATTCTTCCAAAAAAAAAAAAAGAGAAAAAATAACAATTATTATCGAAACCATCATGGTAATTAGCATCCAATATTGCTTCTTACGGTCCTTCATACCAGCTGAACATACCATAAAAAAAAAATCCAAACTTCAAGTTGTAGGCTTCTTTGGTGTGCTTGAATTCCTCGGCTCAGCCTTGCGCTTAATTCCAAGGAAATGCTCAACCTCTCTATCACCGAGCATAGGTGTCAAGCCTCCTGGAAAATCCTTCTCAACAATAGCAAAGCCACTTCTAGGGTCACTCGTTTGCCCTGGTTTCACATGACCACTAAGGACAAGGTAGAGTGTTTTCAGCTGAGCTTGAGCTTCCCTATCATCTCCACTGACAGGGGAGGTGTATCAGAATTTTTCATTTGCTTCAGCTTCAATGCTTCCTGGTATTGCTTCTGCCGTTTCTCTTGCTTCATTTTGCCTGGCTCTTTACCATGAAATTTATGAGAAAGCATCCGGAAGGCTTCCTTGGGAGTCATAATTCGACCAAATTCATCTGTCCTCTCAATGCGACTATCTTTAAATCTGTCGCTTTCACGATCACCATCTACAATGCCAACAAGTTTGCTCTTTTTCTTGTCCATGTTCCTGCCACCCC